TGCCTGTGTTTCTGCACTCATCCCTGTCTGGCTTAGAAAGAAATCTCAGAGCAGGTAATCCTCTTAACAGCGTTGCTTTTTGTCTTTTTGTTCAGCTGATAAATATTTGTGCAGATGTAACTGTTCTTGAATCTTACAGTCAGTCATATGGGCCAGTTGAGATGAATGACATGGCTACCTGAAGCTACAATGAGAGATACTCAGGAGTAAGTCAAGCTTGATGCATCATTCTGCATCTACAACGTTATAAACCCAGCTATGAAAAATTTGGAATGCTGTTAAATACGAATAAAAGTATAATGCAGTAATTAGAACATTTTATAAACCTATCACAATATAATGTTGAAAGTATATCAAATTGATGAAATGTAAATCTAATGAAATAATGAAATTTTTAGCTTATTTTGGATTTGGTGTCTCTAAACGCATCTCAAAAATGTTGCCACAGGACACCAAAAGTTCAAAATGAAAGAAACAACTGGAAGAACATTTTACAACTAACTAGATTAACTGTCAAAATGCTAGTAGTATAAAATGAGGATTTTAAAGAGATAGGGTTTGTCAGAAAATGGCCAGATGTTGACTTTTAAGATTGTGAACTTGGAAAATAATGTAATAAAACATGCAATGGAAAGTTAAAATTAAAAATATGTTTTGACATTTGGAATTTTCTGACTTACCTCCAGAGCTCCTTTTTATTCTTTTACTTCCTTTGTAAACTAATGTAAACTGCATGTCAACCAAACTGATGCGTATATCTTTCCACTAAGCTATTACTTTATTTACAATACTTAGATTCTGTTATATTGACAGAGCAATGATATAATGTTGTTTTTATTTTATTTTAAAGGACTAAAACATCTTCAGGTAAACAACGTGTCAGTCAGCGCAAAAAGCGAATGCCTGCTGACACCACATGATGATCTGGGGCCTTGGAGTGATGAAACGTTTCTCCCACAAAACGCTACGTCCAGATGAACAGAATCAACTTTTGGAAATTAATTTGCATCAAAACTACAGTTTGACAGATTTTTGCTTTTTGTGTTTACTTTTTGCTTTTTTATCAAGAAGAGTGTATTTTCTAAAACAATGGTGCTAATTTGACAAATAAATGCACTAACGTTGGACTAAAGAAAATGGTAATTGTTACAGGGAAATTGCAGTTTTTATATCATCACTTTGTGCTATATATTTATAGCATATTTATTTTATTTATTTTTTCACCAGTTTTTAATGTTGTTATACCTTTTT